ATATCATACCTTTCTAACTAGTTAATATCATACCTTTCTAACTAGTTAATATCATACCTTTCTAACTAGTTAATATCATACCTTTCTAACTAGTCACTATCACACCTTTCTAACTAGTTAATATCATACCTTTCTAACTAGTTAATATCATACCTTTCTAACTAGTCACTATCACACCTTTCTAACTACTATCACACCTTTCTAACTAGTTAATATCATACCTTTCTAACTACTATCATACCTTTCTAACTAGTTACTATCACACCTTTCTAACTAGTTAATATCATACCTTTTTAACTAGTTAATATCATACCTAATCTTGTTATTTTTTATAGAATGTATTGTGGTTCAACATAGGGAGTGTTGACACATTTGAAAGGAATTTAGAAAATGTCCAACTTGAAATGAACATCGAACCCTCAAATTTTGTCCCTGTAGTCTACAAAACTGAAATGGATGGGTGAGCTCAATTTTAATCTTGTTTGTGCAGTGTAGAGAAGTGAAATGGATGGATGAGCTCAATTTTAACATTTTGTGGATATACTCTAAGAGTCAGGGGTAAATGAGTGATTTAATTTTGTCTCTGTTAAGAGAAAAATAAAGTGAATGGGTGAGATCAGTTTTAATCCTGTTTGTGCAGTGTATTGGGGAGTGAAGTGGATGGGTGAGCTCACTTTTAATCTTGTTTGTGCAGTGTAGAGAAGTGAAGTGGATGGGTGAGCTCAGTTTTAATCTTGTTTGTGCAATGTAGAGAAGTGAAGTGGATGGGTGAGCTCAGGTTTTAATCTTGTTTGTGCAGTGTAGAGAAGTGAAGTGGATGGGTGAGCTCAGTTTTAATCTTGTTTGTGCAGTGTAGAGAAGTGAGGTGGATGGGTGAGCTCAGTTTTAATCTTGTTTGTGCAATGTAGAGAAGTGAAGTGGATGGGTGAGCTCAGTTTTAATCTTGTTTGTGCAGTGTAGTGAAGTGGATGGGTGAGCTCAGTTTTAATCTTGTTTGTGCAGTGTAGACAAGTGATGTGGATGGGTGAGCTCAGTTTTAATCTTGTTTGTGCAGTGTAGAGAAGTGAGGTGGATGGGTGATCTCAGTTTTAATCTTGTTTGTGCAGTGTAGAAAAGTGGGGTGGATGGGTGAGCTCAGTTTAATCTTGTTTCTGTAGTTTAGTGAAGTGGATGAGTGAGCTCAGTTTTAATCTTGTTTGTGCAGTGTAGAGAAGTGAGGTGGATTGAACAATCTGTAAATAATTGTCTATATTTTGTATTAAGTTATTGTTAGTATTTTATATAAGGTAACTTTGTTATTATTGAATAAATGTGAAACCCAATATATCTGTTATTATTGTGTTTTTTCATTATTATCATGATGCACTAAATATATCAGGTCATTCGTAAATAATATTTGTGTAATTCAAGTTTAAAGACTTAGATTTTTATGGTAAATTTGTTTAGTGTTTTTTACTTTATAAGAACTTATCTTTTATCTTATAGTTCCAGCTTGGTTAGTCTTTTGCCAACAATTCTTTTGTTCGGCTTTCTCTTCTGGACCATGCGAAGGACATCTGGTCTGATGGGGGGAGGAGGAGCAAGGCGTGGAGGTGGAATTTTTGGAATGGGTGAAACCACTGCCAAGTTAATTAATCCAACAGAAATAGAAGTCAAGTTTCGGTAAAAATATTACGAACCACCCTAATAATCTAAATTTTTATTATGATTTAAGATTTGAAGCTGTTGTTCAAAAAGGTATATTTCAAAAAATTTGTTTCTAGAATTTTAAGTTGAAGTTTTCTTAGTATAAATAATAAGATAAGTGAATTTGGTGTCAATTTTAAATTGTCTAAGTACCAGTAGATGCTTTTTATAAGTGACTTAAAAACATTTTTGATGTTCTCATTTAATTTGTACAAAAATTTAGCAAAGACAGGAAGAGAGACTTGGTAGGTTTAAGCTAACGAAATTGTTTTTACATTTCGTTTCGTCGATAGTCGAATGAGACAATGAATTTTCTTATGTTTACAACTCTACCAGACATATATATCCTGATAGTTTTAGTTTCATAATTAAATTTTGGTAATAATTAAATACACTCTTGCCAGATTTTCATATAATACGTCTTTGGAATTCAGGTTCAAAATTCTTTTTTATAAGAAGACACGTTTTCAGTACTTAAACATCATTACAAATTATGAATGTTATTTCAAATGAATAAAACTTCATCTACTATAACCTAACATTTTGTGCTTTACTAAACTCAGGTTTGCATGTTGTTTTATTTCATATAAAATGAATGGAAACATGAGTGTATATTAATGTTAATGTAATTTTTTTTATAATTAAATTTATAAAAATACATTTCTGTTATTGGATTTGTTCAGTTCAGATGGTGGCTTTTATGAGAACTTCTCCAATCAAAAGAAACCTAAACTTTTAAACTGACTTCAGAAAATCAGCTAGAAATGATATATAAAAAAAAAAAGAACTTCCGTTCCCAGCTATTTCTGTGAATTTAATTTATTACAGACTTGTTCTCCAATGTTAGGCTTAGTTTTCTGATAAAGCTGTATGTATAACCTATCTTCCAAATTTATATCGCAAAAATTATAGGCTTTTTGGGATAAAATTATCAATTGATATTTGCACTTTTGTTAGTTAAAAAATTGTAGCATTAGAAATATAAAAGTATTTCTTTAGTTATTAAGTGCCTTGAAACCATGAATTAAAAACAGTTTAAACTTCGCACAAGCCATCATTGTTAATAAACAGGAAATACTTTGTTTAGTTAGTGACTTATTTTCCAGGGATGTAGCTGGCTGTGAGTAGGAAGTACATTGTTTATTTTCCAGTTATGTAGCCGGCTGTGAGTAGGAAGTACTTTGTTTATTTTCCAGTTATGTAGCTGGCTGTGAGTAGGAAGTACTTTGTTTATTTTCCAGTTATGTAGCCGGCTGTGAGTAGGAAATACTTTGTTTATTTTCCAGGGATGTAGCCGGCTGTGAGTAGGAAATACTTTGTTTAGTTAGTGACTTATTTTCCAGGGATGTAGCAAAGTATTTACTACTCACAGCCGGCTACATCCCTGGAAAATAAGCCACAAACTAAATAAAGTAGTTCCTACTCACAGCCGGCTACATAACTGGAAAATAAACAAAGTACTTCCTACTCACAGCCTGTTTAGTTTGTGGCTTATTTTCCAGGGATGTAGCTAGCTGTGAGTAGTAAATACTTTATTTAGTTTGTGGCTTATTTTCCAGGGATGTAGCTGGCTGTGAGTAGGAAGTACTTTGTTTAGTTTGTGGCTTATTTTCCAGGGATGTAGCCGGCTGTGAGTAGGAAGTACTTTGTTTATTTTCCAGGGATGTAGCCGGCTGTGAGTAGTAAATACTTTATTTAGTTTGTGGCTTATTTTCCAGGGATGTAGCCGGCTGTGAGGAAGCCAAGATAGAAATCATGGAATTTGTGAATTTTCTAAAGAATCCTCAACAGTACATTGACCTAGGGGCTAAGATTCCTAAGGTAGGTGGCATCATAGTAAAATAATCCTGTATAGTAGTAGTACTAGTGAAATGATAAATATTAAAACTGGAAATCATTGACTAAATAATAGGTGTATTACACAATATATAAAAATATATATTAGTAAATGTATTGTAATGTAATGAAATTATTATAAACCTTTGTGAGTGCGTTTGTACGAAGATATTGGTGGTTTATAAACTAAAGGCTTTTAAATTGTTTCTTTTTTTCACTATTAAAATTATTTTTTATCACACACCAGGGAGCAATGCTCACAGGCCCACCTGGAACAGGTAAGACATTGTTAGCCAAAGCTACAGCAGGAGAGGCTAATGTTCCCTTCATCACAGTGTCGGGTTCAGAGTTCCTTGAGATGTTTGTCGGTGTTGGACCTTCTCGTGTAAGTAACTTTTCATAAACTATGCGGTTTTGGGTTTTAAATTATCTAAGATATTTTTCAGTATTGGACCATTCTTGTATCACTTTAACTCTCTCACTACAGGCTCGGACCTTGTAACCATTTTGTGCTTGTTATAGTTTTCATACTATAACTTTTAATACAGTAAGTGTATCTTCACGAAATTTTGCAGATTATCAGTAAACATATATCATATTTTTAAATTAAGTTTTAAGATTTGCTCGTGCATTTTTCATTTTGAATGTTGACTGTCCAACATGTAGAGTAGTTTTGATTTTATGATTAAAAATACTTCTATGCATCAAACAATTGTCAAATTTCACATGCAAAATCTTTATATTCTCCAGATAATTATCAAACATTTTTTTTAGAAAAAAAACTATTTTATCTATTATTTTTACTATTGTATCTGTATGGGTTTAGTCGATTTGACCGACCTTGTAACCACCATGAAAAATTATGAAATAGATACAAATTAAGCTTTTTTCGCTCTAGAATGACTACAAATTATAACAAGCAACCACAAATATTTAGTTTAAATCTCATAAAATTATACGTCTATATATATTTTTTATTTTATTGACCTTTCAGACGTGTCTGACTGACATCACAAAAGTTACAATGACCATTTTGTAAAATAGTCACATTTCAGTTATAATACATTACATGTATTATTACCACTTACAAATAAGTTATTAAATTTCAGTTATTTTTCTTAAAACATAGAACAGTAAATGATGAAGTATAGAAAAACAATTACCTCTTCTAGTTACGACCTTTGTACTTGTTTTCCACTTGCCTAAATTTGCTAAGCCTTGTCAAATTTTGCACGTGGTATATGTAAAACAAAATAATTTTTTTAGGTTTTATATATGCATTTGGAAATAAAAATTCATAAGTTACTACATCAGTACCATAGAAATTCACTATAATTTATCAGGCTTAGTAACCAAGCTGTATTTGGGTCTAAAAAATATACTTCAAACAACATTTTCACTTAACCCTTCCTTCTGAGATAAGACACTTTCCAACTCCAGAGCCTGAGGAAGTCACATTCTGAACTTTTGATAAAGCCATGAGAGAGTGTACATATTTCCAAATATGGAAGAAGTGGGCAGGGCCACTTTGTTTGATTTGCTAACTATAGTGATATCTCGGCAAATACAAAAGATAGGAGGTTCTTATTTTATATTGTAGCTTGAGTTTTTATTTCGTAAAAAACTATAGACTTTGTATTTAGACATCACAAACATCTAATTTGAACCAAAGCTGCATTCAGTATACCACGTTACACACAAAAATCAATATACAGAAATTTTTTTTGATATTCATATTTAAATTAAGAAATTAATTAATGTATAATACTAAAATTTGAATTATAATCTACAATTTGATACCAAACTTATTGACATACATTCATAAAATAGTAGTTCAATAAAATTTAGAATGTAAGTGTACAAACATGATCTTTGACCCCTGACCACAGAAAGACCGGTAGCAAGAGGGATTTGAACCATTTGTTGTAACTTCCAAAATAGGTGTAGTTTTAGGCTTAGAGTTGTGAATGTTTTACAAGTGTAACATTTAACTAAGTTTAAATACCTTCCAAACATTATAGTTATTTTGCACTAATAAGAAAAAATTTTAAGATTTTTGTTTCATTTCATTTATTCATATCGCTTTTCGTAACATACTTAAATGTTATTAAACTATAAACTTAACTATTATTCTGTACTTTAGTAAAATGTTTCTGCTGTAGGTGTGTATAAAGAAGAATGATGTATTCATTACTTATGCAGGTGAGAGACATGTTTGCTATGGCAAGGAAGAATGCCCCGTGTATTTTATTTATTGATGAGATTGATGCTGTTGGACGGAAGCGAGGTGGCCGAAGTCTTGGTGGCCACAGTGAGCAGGAGAACACTCTTAATCAACTTCTAGTAGAAATGGATGGTAATTTTTCATATTATATTCATAGCAATTTTGGAGATTGAGAACTTAAGAATAACTATTATTGTGAAAGTAATTATACTTTTTCTAATATTGTTACTATTGAGATACCATTTGTTTTACCTACTTCCTGAATAGTTTTTTAAGCCTAAATACTACAAATAATTCGATTCTCATGGCATTAACCAATCATGTGGATTTTCTAGGTTTCAATACCACAACGAATGTTGTTGTTCTGGCAGCAACCAACCGTATAGACATACTTGATCAGGCCTTACTTCGACCAGGAAGATTTGATCGACAGATCTATGTCCCTGCTCCAGATATCAAGGGCAGGTACGTCTAATGCCATACAACTTTACAATTATATTCATTAAAGTTAATAACTGTAAATGTAATTATATCTAAAACATGATAACCATTGAAAGTCATTGAAGTGAAGTTAGATATGTAACAAGTGTAATTGACCTGGAAGCCATGTTTATAGGCTTAATGAAGTCATGTGCTAGCCCACGTTTTGAAAGAAACTTTGCAATAAAAATTTATATAAGTAGTTAGTATTTATCTCAAATTGCTATCTTAGTTATAATGCTTATCTCTGTCCTCTTAGAAATTGTGTAGAGCTATTTCAAAAATACCCCCCACTTCCACCCAACCACCCCCCCAGCAAATCTTGCAGTGGATAAAATCTACTGTGTTTCTAATTACAAGTAGTAATGTTTGTAAAGCATAAATGAACTGTTACAGTAATTACTTCTATAAATTAAACATAACAAGGAACCAAAAAAAAACAATTATTACCCTTATGTAACGTACAAAAAATGTAATGTTATGTTATCTAAAAGTATGTGATTGAGGAAGATCTCTGATGTAATAACTAAAAGCTTAAAAACTACACTCCATACATGGAAGAACACTCAGACAAATAGTTTGTGAGAAAGAAAATAGTTGGCTTTAAGATAAGATATTTATGATTTTAAGTTTGAAATTAAAACAAAAAAAGCATTCAATTAAATTTAATTTTTTGACACCACCATCAAATGTCGATGTTTTCAAACTATGAGAGCAAGGAAAAAGTAACAAATGTGAAAATACCACAAATTTGCAGCTATGCAAGTGGGAAGTTTAAATATTTCTTCTCACAAAATAAAAATTAAGATGAGAACAAAAAACAAAATCAGGGTTAGTGGTTTGTATTTTTTTATTACTTCATCCATAACAAATGTTAATAAAATTTATTTCAAAATTCTAAATCTGAACATTTAAATTACAGTTTGATTTTGTAGGTGATTTGAGGAGAGAGATCAGACATAATTTTTTTAATCTTAATGTCAGAAAAAACACATAGGTTCAGGAAGTTTTAATATAAAACCGTAAAAACTCTATAATACAAGTGCTTTTTGAAAGGTGGACCTTTCTTCTTCAGGCGCAATCTTAATGTCATTGTCATTCTTAAAAAGTGGGACATATGAGCAGTAAGGACTTCACATGTCTAACTTTAATTGGAAAGTCACCAAATCTGTGTCCTGTATAGAATTACACACAGACTGTTCTCTATGTTAAAAATACTTTTATTTGTGAGCTTTCAAGCCCTCTTACCAGAGCCTTCATCAGGCAACATTATACTGAGAAACATTGCTCAGTACATTGTTGCCCAATGAAGGCTCTAGTAAAGTAAAGACTTGGCAAACAGTCCAAGTATAATTCTATGTATTGATTTCCCTACAGTACGAGTCTTAAGAAACAAATCTATGTCCTTATGTTAAGAGAAGAGATTACAAAAAAAAGATATCTGTAATACTTATATGTTGTATGTACTAAATAATAATAAAGAAATATTTGAACCCTAGTTGGTTCTTGATCATCAGAAATTTGGCTCACTCTCTCGTTGTAAAGATTCACTATTTTATATTGTATGTTTCGTCATGTAGCTGAAGAGCTATTGCTTACTTTTTTTTTATAAACTTTAACATGTTGATTTTAAGTTAATTATTTTTCATAACAATTTTTAACCATTTGTTTGCAACTTAAGACGTAGTTTGAAACGTAATTTCAATTTTTTCACTTTACAAAGATTTACATAAACTAAGGCATTGTTTATAGCTACTGTTTGAAAGTATCTTTAATTTATATTTGTAGTAGTGTTTACTAGATGTTAATACATTGTAATTTCCTGTAATGTTTTTAACTTACAGAGCATCCATTTTCAAAGTTCACTTGAAGAACCTGAAGACACAAATTGATAAACTAGAGCTATCTCGCAAAATGGCTGCATTGACACCAGGATTTACTGGTTTGTTCCTAGATAAAGTATAGAGAAGATGTTTTTTATCCATTTTGAATCAAATAGTAAACACTGGTAAACTTGTATATACTCTGTTCGACACGGACACATTATAGTCAAGTTACCTACAGTATTGTGCAAAAGTGTTAAGACAAACTCAAAAATTTGATTTCAGGCTACTTTCAAAGAACAATAGGAAGGTAAATCACAGGTGAAACATCAAAATTTTATTAATCTTCATGATTAGTACAAC